CCAGATCTAAGGGGTCATTAAAATACTTTTTTAGAAAGATTTTTAATTATACTGTTAAATCATGGGAAAACATGAGTTTCATAGAGTCCCTGAGAATTCCAAAATGCAAATAGATTTTTTTAGTTATACACATAGCCAGATAATTATAATTTATACATAGTATGCATGTTTGAACTGGCTTGAAACATGTTTTAAATTCATATAATTCCTTTGCTTTCAGATATTAATTCCTGCTCTTTCAAAGCTATTGTGTTCCTCATTTGTATATTAAGACTAGGTCTTAATTAGAATGATAGAATCATTTTCTCTTGTACCATACCTGGGGTAGGGGATATCTTGGTACAAGCTATTCTACATTAGAACTATGTGTTAACTAATGTATATTTTTTAAAATGTATGCCATATTTAAGCTGGTTTTTTCTTTCCTTTTTTCTTTTAAAATGGAGAAACACCTCAATGATTCAGGCAAAAGACTAGGATTTTCACAGGCATAAGAGTAGATAAAGCTTTCCAGAGTTTATAGCTAAGCTGAAATATCTTGGGAAAGGAATGAATTGCTTTATAGCAATAAAGGATATAAGTGAGAAGGCCTGGCTAGAAAACATGTGTTTGCTATCGCTGATTTATTGTTTGATTGATTCTGGAATTACATCTGTCTTCATAGTAACTGTGAGGAAAATGGAGGCTCTGTTTTAGTGGTATGTATAAATTTTGGAGAAGGGTGGTATATGAGAACTCATCACTCAGTCTAGTCATTTTCAGAAGAGTAAATTACGATTCATCCTTTGGGAGTTGCTGAAGTCTCTTTTGGCTGCTGTAAACAAATATTTTCAGATAACAAATTCTATAGTTTGAAGAAATATGAGTATCAAAGAAATATAGGAAGTTATCCATTGAAATTAGTAGTATGAATTTAAACCTACAATCTTAAAAAGGAAATAAAATGTCATTTATTTATTTCCATTAAATTACCCTAATTGTAATTTTTAGCCCTCACATTGACAAGGGGATTAAAACTGTGATCTCAAACATTCTGGGGACTCCTTTTCCCTTATTATTATACAAAAAAACAAACAAAAAAACAAACAAAACAAACAAAAAACCAAAAAGCAAAAAACCTGGGGTCTTTGTTCCAAAAGATAGGGGAATCATCTTTAGTAATCAAGTCAATAATGATTATTATCCTTCCAAACTAGTCACTATTGTGATGCCAATATCATTACCCTTCCATGTTTAGACATGCCTCCAACATGGTCCAATGACACAGAAATATTGATGGAAGCTGGGAGAACCATGTTAGATATTCTACTTTCCATAGGCCACCATGCTACTATTCCTTCTGAAATCTTTCTGTATGCTCAAGGCTGTGATTCTAACACTGGCAGTAGCCTCTATTTTTAGCTCCTTTTTTAAAAAGTTTATTTATTTTGAGATACAGTGCTGGAGAGGGGCAGAAAGAGAGGGAGGGAGAGAGAAAGAATCCCAAGCAGACTCCACACTGTCAGTGCTGAGGCTGATGTAGGGCTCAGTCCCAGGAACCATGAGATCATGTCCTGAGTGGACATCAAGAGTTGGAGTCTTAACTGACTGAGCCACCCTCGTGCCCCTTTATTTTTAGCTACTTCAGCTTTCTGCCATGCCAAAATTCTTGAGGCAAAGAATTACAGAAAGTTTGTCTATTTGCTGGAATGCCTTTTTTGGAATTACGGAGATAGGAATGGAACATACAATTAGCAAAAAACTTAAGAAAGGATCTTACCGACAAGATGGAGTATAGCTATGTGCACTGTCCCTCCCATTAAATATAGATAAAAACCTCAGATATTATATATAAGACATATATATTTTTTAATTTTTTTAATCTTTATTTGAGAGAGAGAGAGAGAGAGATAAACTGTGAGTGGGGCAGAGAGAGAAGGAGACACAGACTCTGAAGCAGACTCCAGGCTCTGAGCTGTCAGCATAGAGCCCAATATGGGGCCCCAACCCACAAACCACAAGATCATGACCTGAGCCAAAGTCAGATGCTTAACCAACTGAGCCACCCAAGTGCCTCTAGAAAACTCTTAAAGTTGGGCAGTAAAAAAAGCAAAGTAGCCAGAGACTCCAGACTCAAGAAATGACACAAAGGTGATCTCCATATATTTCCTCTTTGAGTCCTGAATATCTTGAACTAGATATGAAAGAAGCCTAAAACCCAGAAGTGTCAATGGATGCAGAAAATAAAAGCCTCAAGAAAAGTCTGGTCTCTCTTGACAAAGAAAAAGGACAACTTAATAAGGAAGAAATTTTTCTTTCTTTCTTTTTTTTTTTTTTTGATAACCATCCTACTCTGGACAAACAACCCTCCTATCTTTTTTAGCGAAGGCTAAGTGGAAAGCCTAAACTATCATCCTTGACTGATGCTAGTAAGGTACCCCTCCCACCTCCTCTCTACCAATGTTGTGTCAGAGGAGGCTAAGCAAGGAGGCTTCTAACCCTGATGAGGCAATAATATGGTGTCTCTTCCCCTCCCAGCCTGGATGGGATATCTGAAGAGGCCAATTTTGGACCCTGGACTTGCACTACCACACAGAAATAATAAAGTGGCCCTCATCGCCACCTCCCCATAGTGCCAGTGGAGGCTGAGTAGGGAGCTTAGATTTTCATCCTACCTGGTAATAAAAAGGCAACCCTTACTCTCCCAGTGGGATGATGATGTCAGCAAAAGCAAAAGCAAAAGCAAAAGGAGAACCTGGATACCCATCTTCTTCCAGTAAAAACAAGGTATCCCTCCTACAGGGTTAGTAAGTGGGGAGCCTGGACTTTCACCCACCAATCAAGTGATAAAGATGTGGTGTCCCTTTTCCCCCACTGGAGCAGTGTTAGTGAAGACCTACTAAAACAGGAGGATTTAATAAAACCTAGAGTCTCATAACATAAAACTCAAAAAGGCAAGCATGCAGTGAAAAATCGCTCATCATACCAAGAACCAGAAAAATCTTAACATGAATGAGAAAAGACAACACCCACAGATGCCAACACCCAGATGACAGAAATATAAGAATTATCTCACAAGAATTTTAAAGGGCTCATCATAAAAATGCTTCAAAGAGAATTATAAAAATGCTTAAGACAAATGAAAAAACAGAAAGTATTGGCAAAGAAATGGAAGTTATAAAGAAGATTTAAATGGACACTTTACAACTGAAAAATATAATAACTGAAATAAAAAGTCACTGGATGGGGGTGCCTGGCTGGCTCATTCGGTAGAGCATGAGACACTTGATCTTGGGGGTTATGAGTCTGAACCCCATGTTAGGTGTAGAGATTACTTAAAAAACAACAACAACAACAAACCTTACTGGATGGGCTCAATAGTTGAATGAAAATGACAAAAGAAAAAAATCAGTAACTTTGAAGATAGAACAAAAGAAATTACCAAATCTGAACAACAGAGAGAAAATGGACCAAAGGAAAAAAAATGAACAGATCATCAGGGATCTATAAAGCAAGTACAAAATATCTATTCATGTCATTTGAGTCCCAAAAGAAATGGAGAAAGAGAAGGAGAGGGGAGAAAAAACATCTTAAGAAATAGTGGCTGAGAACTTCCAAAATTTGAGTAAAAACATGTACATAAATCTGAGTGAAGCCCAAATATGATGAACCCAAAGAAATTCATGCCAAGATACATCATAATCAGACTTTAGAAAATTTAAGACAAGGAAAAAATTTCAAAGCAGTGGGAAAAAAGCAATGCCTTACCTAAAGTAAAACCACAATTTCAAGGTCATCAAACTTCTCATCCAAATCCATGGAGGCCCAAAGCAAGTGGCACAACATTTTCAATTTCAATTTCAATTTCAACTAATAGCTAACTAAGAATTCCATCCAGAGAAGATATACTTCAGGAGTGAGTGTGGAATTAAAACACTCTCAGATTCAGGAGAACTAAGATGATTTGTCATAAGCAGATGCACTCTAAAAGAGTAGCTAAGAAAAATTCTTCAAACACTAAGATAATGATGAAACGATTCTTGGAACATCAGGAATGAAGAAAAAAAGCAAAAAGTAAAAGTATGGGTAAATTATATTTCCTTGATGTTTTCTGAATTATGTTAGACAGTTGAAACAAAAATTATAATATTGTTTGATATGGCTCTTAAGGCATGTAGAAAAAATATTTAAAACAATTATTGGTGGAGTGAGTGACGAAGGAATGTAAATGGAAGTAATATTTCTATACTTCAGTCAAACTGGCAAAATGGTAACACCAGTAGTTTGTGACAAATTACATAAATTATGTAATATCTAAAGCAACCACTATATATATACATACATATATGTAGCAGAGCCTATCAATGCAGAGCCTGATGCAGGGTTTGATCTCACAAACTGCAAGATTACAATCTGCACTGAAATCAATAGTTGGACACTCACCCAACTGAGTTGGATGCTCACCCAGATGCCCTGGCCCCTATATTATTTTAAATAAAAATAATGAGACATCTTGTTTCATTCCAAATTTGGAGGGGAAGCTTTCAATATTTTACAATTACATAATGATGTCTTGTAGAGTTCTTTCTTTGTTTTTGGTATTGGTAGATATTCTTACTCATATTAAAGACATTTTATTCCTAGCATTCTAAGAGGCATTTTCCCTTTTTGACTATGAATGGGTATTCATCTTTCACTTATAATATATTTGTATGACCTGAATTACTAAACTATGAACTCTTGACTTATCTAAAACACATTCACCTGTATTTGTTGAGTGCGTCTACTGTACCAGGCCATCTGCAAGGTCTTGAAAATACAAAGATAAACTCTGTCATAGAATGGGTACTAAATGTTTCTAAAGCAGAACTAAAAATAATGACTGACTACAAACCTAATATCAAAAAAATCTATATTTTATTAAAATAAATTTTTAAAAAGTTGAATTGATCACAATTGATTAGAATAACTTGAATCCAAGCAAATATGCACAACTGAATTTCAATTATCTTATCTTTCAGACTTGGGATGATGGTTTAGCAAAGATTGCTAAAGCATGGGCAAGCAAGTGCCAATTCAAACACAACTCCTGTTTACCAAAATCCTACGGATGCCATCCAACTTTTGAGTATATTGGAGAAAATATCTGGTTAGGTGGACTCAGCTTATTTTCACCAACATCTGCTGTTGTTGCTTGGTTTAATGAAACTGAATTTTATGATTATAATGCCCTATCATGTTCCAAAGTTTGTGGCCATTATACACAGGTAAATATTTAACATTTTATTGATTAGTTCTTATTTATGCACATTTTGATCAAAAGACAACTTTTTGAGCATTTTCTTTTAAGTGTCTTTTGAGTATGTAAAAAGTACACCTTCATTTGAAAGGTATGTATACTGGGAATAGAATGTACTGAGTTGTTTGTGTATTTGTTTGTTTTGTTTCTCTGAGTTTTAAAATCTTACTTGACTGTCATCTTACTTGCATTGTTTCCAACAAGAAATCTACTCTAACCTTTTATTTATTGCTTTGTACTTAGTGTGTCCTTTTGCTCTAACTGCCTTTAAATTTTTTCCCATTATTACAGGTCTCAAGCAGTTTCATAATAATGCACTGTAGTTTTCTTTATGCGTTTTGTGCTTCAGTTTACTGACCTTCTTGGAACTGTGGGTCTATAGTTTAAATCAGATTTTGAAAAATGTTTGCCATTACTTCTTCAAATATTTGCCATTCTCACTTGATCCTCCCTTCAGAGTTTTTACCCATGTAGGATACCACTTGAAGTTTTTCCACAGTTGACTGATGCTCCCTTCTCTTTTCCTTGATTTTTTTTCCTATATGATTTTCAGATAAACCTACTGCTATATCTTATATTAGTTCACTAATTTTTCCTCTCTTTATATCATCAATTACTATATCTAGTATGTTTAATCTTTCATCTAGATTTTAATCACATGAGATAGTTATAGTCATTATTTTAATGTTTTCCCTCCTAATTTGCCATCTATGTTAGTTCTGGGTTAGTTTCAATGGATTCATTTTTTCCTCTTTGTTACCAGTCACATTTTCCTGATTCTTATCCCACTGGATAAATTTTCTTATATTCTCAACTTTGTAAATTTTGCCTTTTTGGATACTTCATTTATTTATATAACTATAAATATTCTTGGACTGTCTTCTGGGATACAGTTATATCATCTTAATTTTTTTATTATTATTATTTTGGTTCTTGTAAGGCAAGAGTCTTGTGCAGTTTCTACCCAATGGCGCAGAAATGGATATTTTCCAGTGTGGAGAGTAGGACCAGGCTCTCTTCCTGGCCCTGTTTAAGTCTTAGCATTCTTTCCTCTAGTTTTTCTAGGTGGTTTTTTCTCAGGCCTAGGGTAGTTTCTTCACATCCATACTGAAATGCTCTGCTGAATGGTGGTGAGGACTCCTTGCAGATCGTTATGGTTGTGTCACTATATGATTTTCAGCTCCCCGGTGCTATGTTCTTGCCTCCTTGGTCTCCCCAGATTTTCAGCTCTGCCTCTCAATTGTGTAAATCCATCAAGCTTCTCCTGGTTTCCCACACCCCAACACCCCTCCCCTTCCCCGCCCCCACCCGCTGCCTCCGCCCTGCACAGCCATGACCTAGAATAATCTGGAACAATTATACAGCCTGAATTTTTCCTCTCAACCCACAGGGGGCATTATCCTATTTTGCCTGATGTCAGTACCTTGAAAAACATTATTTCCTGTTACTTTTCCAAGTATTTTGGTTGTTTCAGTGGGAATTTTTGGTGAGAAGTAGAGGTCACTTTTAAGCTAAGCCAATCCTAAAAATGGCACTGAGCTCCTATGAAGCCCCATTTAAGTGACAGAAAGGGCTGTCTTCTCCAAACTTACTCAACTGTATAAGACGCATACAATGACTTAAATCAAGTCACTTTTATCAGAGGAGCACTGAACAAAGAGGTTAGCATCTTCCATGCTCCCCCTCTATTCGCTCTTTGTCCATTAACAGGACATTGTAAGTCTGGACACTCTTCTCAGGAGAGATGTTATCGGCATAGTTTGGCTACTGCTGGGAAAGGTGAAAGAATAGAATGCAAATATCAGGTGTACTGACAACAAGCAGAATGCGATACCCCTAATCTGGCATCAAGACCAAGTTACAGCCTTTATATAATCTCCTTTGTCTCTCTCTTTTGTTTCCAGGAAAAAGAAACCTGTTCCCAAATAACCTTCCTCCCCTAGCATTGATGCATCAGAACTGCAAGCTCACTCCTCACTGGCTAATTTACACATATGCTTAGATAATTAAGAATAGATGCATTCTTCCTATTGGTTCAGCAACTATATCTTGCTTATGTTCTAAACAAAATTAGCTAAAAACTTCTCGCATTTGCTATTACAGATATTCATACTGAAGTTACAACCAATGTTTATATTGTCACATCTAGTCCCTTTAATGAAATCAACACATTTTAAACCTACACATAGTCGATATTTACTTTTACCATTCCCAAAGCCAAAACAGAATCACAACTTAGATACATTAAACAAACAGAATTTTATGGCATTGTCATTTATTCATGAACCAAATTTTTAGACATGGCTTCTTAAAATATATGTATATACTTGCAGTTGTATGACTTATTAATCTTTTGAAACATTCAAAAGGAAAAGATTCTCTTTAGGATCTAACTTAATCTCATTTTATTAAGTAGGAAGCTAGCTCAGAATTTATCTATCAGTCTCTAAAGCCACACACATGGTTAGAAGCAAAACTCATTCCTTACTTCTTAATTCACTGTCCTTTTTATTATACTTTGCTGTTTCTCAGACAACCAAAGAAGCATTAAGATAAATTTTGCAAAACTGTTGATTCTGACTAGACTTAGGCCATGGGAAATAGTGACTAGCACATCAGTTTATAAAATATGTTAATAAATTTTGTTAACTGAACTATAAAATAAATGAATTCAGAAAATTCATTTATGTTGTCAAAATCTGTTTTAATTTTCTTTGGAGTATTTTGCTTTTCAGATGGAAGAAATCAGTATTCTCCCTTAATTCATTCAGAAAATAGAGAAAAATTCCCTTCTATCATTGTCACAAAGAAAGAGTAATCTGCTTCACTTTTTTCTCTCTCTCCCCATGTCTGGTTTTCTATAGGAGTCTTCTCCTTTTTGAATAACTTTGTTATTCTTCTCAACTAGACAAAAATAAAGACTCACCATATCTGTGTCAGGCATCTTTCTCTGGTAAACTCATTATGTCCTTAATCTCTATCCCTATCTGTCTCTTGTGACCTAACAAAGGTAAGAATATGGTTAAGACCACAAAATTTGAAATATGATCATAAATGAAGTCAAATTTTTCTGATAAAAAGAAATAAAATTTCATTATTGTTTTCATTTACAGTATGATTTTAATATCATTTGTATGATATGCCCATGAAGAAACTTAAAATAAATTTCATAAGTCATATAAAAACTGTAACTGTCTACATAATATTCACCATTTGATTTACGAGAATTAACAGTGAGGAAAAAGTAGTTAGCCCTCAGGAAAGCAAACTTAACAAAATAATTGTTTTAAACTTGATATTAAAAATTAAGAAAAAATACAATAAATACTCTACATTCATTTTTGGTAGCATGATAGATTATACCTGTTTCCATAATGCATTGTTTCCATAAAGTTGTTTAACATATTTTATTTTAAAATTCCTTCCCTTATAGGTAGTTTGGGCCAATTCATACAAAGTTGGTTGTGCAATTACAATGTGTCCTAAACTTTGGGACCATGAAACTGCAATATATGTATGCAACTATGCACCTGCGTAAGTTATTTTGCTATTCAAAAGTATGTTAAATTAAAATATGTGTTAAGATTGTTTCCAAAATAGAACCTTAATACTAACGAGACAAGTATAGTTTTGATAAGTGAAGTCTCTCTCTATAGCACTACTCAAAAGAAATACATTAAAATAGAACGTGGTGAGAGAATAGTACCTTATTCTCAGTAAAAAACTGTAAAAAACTGTACCTGTCATGAAATAATTAAACTTGAGAGTGAACATTATGGAAACTTTAAGTTTAAAAAAATATAATATAAAATACATTGTCACAGTAATGTCTAAATACCGGGAACAGAAAATAGGTTGGCAGGTGCTTCTCTAATGTAACATGCCTGGGATGAGTAAATGATTGAGAATGACAATGAAAAGCACATTTTTCTAGGAAGAGAATGCCATACTTTTTAATTGCCTTGCTGATAACTTTACATCTATATGGAAAGAGAACATTAGCCTAAAGGGAACCCCAAACAATGAAATATTGGAACTCTTATCCCAATAGATAAGAAGAAAAAAAATCAGTTACTAGTTCAACTCTTTTAACAAAATTTTAAAAACAAAATGTAAGAAAAAATGAAAACACAGGCAAAGAATAAATACACATAATTTACACAAACTGATATATGTAAAAATTGCTATGGAGAGGTACAAATGTGTATGTCTCTTTTGGTAAATTCTATGGTTCAGTTAGAAACAAAACCAAGAATGACAAATACATATCCTTAAAACGTGAGGATCACAATTTTTATAAATAGCAGAGAAATTGCAGAACTACTGAATGCTTATTTATTACCATCCCAAATAGAATACACAGAGAGAAAAAAGAATCCAAAACAGATAAAAAGAGCATCAGTTACCTGTGAAATAAGTTTAGGGAGAAATGGTTTCCTGAAAGACGCAGGGATAGAAAAGTATTTGAAGAAATATGGCCCCAAGCTTTCTAAGCTTAAGGCAAATTATAAACTCACTGACCCAAGAAGGCTAGCAAACCCAGAATCACAAGAAACATGAAGAAAACTATACCAAACTCACCTTAAACTAAATTTCAAAACCACTAAAAAAGAGAACACCTTAAAAGCAGCCAGAGAACTAAGACATGTTACATACAGAGGAACAAAGATAAGGATGAAAGCGGATTTCCCAATGGAAATAATGTCAGAAAGAAAACAGCAATATCTTTTAAATACTGGAGGGAAAAAAACCTGTCCACTGAAAATTTTATATCTTTTGAAAAATCTTTCAAAATTAACAAACCACTAGAAATGGTAACCACATGGGTGATACATAGGATGTTTTTCTTATTATTTGATTCTCTTTCAAAGATAATTATTTAATTAAAGATAACAGCAGTATATTTGAGAGTTACAACTACATAAAATTAAAATATGTGAGAACTATAGCATAAAGGTTAAAAGAGAAAAATGGAAGTATATTAAGGTTCTTCTACTCTATGTTAAATGCAATAATTTAACTTGACTGTGATAAGTAGAAGATACATACTATAAACCCTAAAGTAACTACTTAAATAATAAAACAAACAGCTATACCAAAGGCACCAACAAAGCATGTAAAACTAGATTTCAAAATATTCAATTAATACAAAGAAAGGCAGGAAAGAGGAAAGGGGAACAACAAACTAATAAGATAAGCAGAATAAATAAAATGATAGCCTCAAACATAACTTGTATCAATAATCACATCAAATGTAAAGGGACAAACACTCAAAAGAAAAGAAAGAGATTGCAAGGTTGGATAAGAAATCAAGAACAAATTATATACTGCCTGCAGGAGCACACTCTATTTTTTTTAAGATTTTATTGTTAAGTAATCTTTATACCCAACATGGGGCTCTAACTCAGAATCCCAAGATCTAGAGTTGCATGCTCCACTGACTGAGCCAGCCAAGCACCTCTACAAAAGCATACTTTACATATAAAGACAGAAATAACAAGAAATAAACCACAAGAAAGAAATCTGTAAAGAACATAAATAGAAGGAGGTTAAACAATATGCTCCTAAAAAATGAATGTGTCAAACAAGAAATCAAAGGGGAAATACAAACAATATACATGGAGACGAAATTAAAAACACAACAATCCAAAATCTTTGGGATGCAGTAAAAGCTGCTCTAAGAGGGACATTTATAACAATACAAAACTACTGCAAGAAGCAAGAAAAATCTCAAACAAGCTAACCTTTACTTAAAGGAGCTCAAAAAGAAAAGCAAACAGGGAAGCCAAGGTAGCTCAGTTGGTTAAGCATCTGACTCGATTTCTGCTCAGGTCATGATCCCAGGGTTGTGGGATTGAGCCCCTCATGAAGCTCTGTGCTGAGTTTGGGGCCTACTTAGGATTCATTCTCCCCCCCTCTCTCTCTCTCTGCCCCTCCACCATTCACACTCTGTCTCCCTCAAAATAAATAAATGCAGATTTAAAAAAGAAAAAAAGCAAATAAAAAACCCCGCCAAAACAGCAGAAGGAAGGAAATAATAAAAATTAGAGCAGAAATAAACACAATAGGAACGAAAGAAAGAAAGAAAGAAAGAAAGAAAGAAAGAAAGAAAGAAAGAAAGAAAGAAAGAAATACCAAAACCACAATAGAACAAATCAATGAAACCAGAAGCTGGTTCTTTGCAAAGATAAATGAAATTGATAAACCTTTAGTTGGACTCATAAAAAGTAAAGAAAAAAAAGAGGGAATACTCAAATAAAATCATAAATGAAAGAGGTGAAATAACAATTGATACTACAGAAATACAAAGAATTATAAGAGAATATTATGAAAAATTATATGCCAACAAATTGGACAACTTATAAGAAATGAATACACTCCTAGAAACATATAACCTACCAAAACTGAATCAGGAAGAAATAGAAAATTTGAACAGATTGATTACCAGGAATGAAATTGAATTAGTAATCAAAAAGCTTCCAACAAACAAAAGTTCAGAAGCAGATGACTTCACAGGTGAATTTTACCAAACATTTAAAGAAGAAATTCTTTGTCTTCTCAAACTATTCCAAAATAAATAGAAAAAGGAAAACTTCGAAATTCATTCTATGAAGGTATTACCTTGATACCAAAATCAGATAAAGACATCACAAAAAAATAGAACTATAGGCCAATATCTCTGATGAACGCAGATGCAAAAATCCTCAACAAAATATTAGCAAACTGAACCCAACAATACATTTAAAAATCATTCACCATGATCAAGTGGGATTTATTCCTGGGATGCAATGGTGGTTCAATATTCACAAATCAATTAACATGATACATCACATCAATAAGAGAAAGGATGAAAAGCATATGATCATTTCCAAAAGTGCAAAAAAGCATTTGACAAAGTACAACATCTATTCATGATAAAAACCCTCAACAAAGTAGGTTTAGAGGGAACAGACCTCAACATAATAAAGGCCATATATGAAAAGCCCACAGCTAATATCGTACCCAATGGTGAAAAACTGAAAGCTTTTCCCCTAAGATCAGAAACAAGACAAGGATGTTCACTCTCACCACTTTTATTCAACATAGACACAGCAATCATAAAGACAAAGAAATAAAAGGCATCCAAATTGGTAAGGAAGAAGTAAAACTTTCACTATTTGCCAATGTCATTAATCAAGAAGCAACTTGAATGAAATGGAAAAATTCATCTAAGAACACAAATTGCAAAGGATAAATGAAATAAAGGAAAACCACAGAGCAGTATCTCTTAAGAACATAGGTACAAAATTATAAACAAAATTTAGCATTTGAATCTGACAATATAGTAAAAGCATAATACACTTTGTCCAAATAGAGTTTATTCCAGTAATACAGGGGTGATGTAGCATTCTAAATACATTCATCACTGTAGTTCACCATAGTAATCAACTTAAAAATAAAGATTACATGATCATCTTAACAGATGGAGAAAAAGCCAAACATTCATTCCTGATAATAGCTCTAAGCAAACTAGAAATAAAAGGGAACTTCCTAAACCTAATAAAGCGCATCTGTGAAAAACCTATATATAATATTATACCAATAGTAAAATATTTTTCCTTAAAGTACCAAAGAGTAAATATGCTAGGCTTTGCATGCCATATACATTCTGTTACCTTCACCTTTGTCTTTATTTTGTTTTTAAAAACCCATTAAGGGGCGCCTAGGTGGCTCAGTCGGTTAAGCATCTGACTTCAGCTCAGGTCATGATCTCACAGTTTGTGGGTTCAAGCCCCTTGTCGGGCTCTGGGCTGACAGCTAGCTCAGAGCCTGGAGCCTATTTCAGATTCTGTATCTCCCTCTCTTCCTGACCCTCCCCTGCTCATGCCTCCCTCTCTCTCTCCTCTCAGAAATAAATAAAACATTAAAAAAAAAAAACATTAAGAATGTAAAAAAATTCTTTGCTTGCAGACTACACAAAAGCAGGCCAGATTTGGCCTATGGGTCATACTTTGCTGACTTCTGGTCTATAGGTTTATATTTTAAAAAATCTAATGTAATCTATGAAAACCCTTCTAAAACTAGTAAGTAAATTTAGCAATTTTTCAGAATATAAGATCAATATACAAAACTCAATTACATGTCCATATACTGTCAATGAACAATCATAAATTGAATTAAAATATCTATCACTTTTAACTGCATCAAAAATATAAATTAGGGATAAATCTGGCAGAATATATAAAAGGCCTGTACAATGAAAACTACACAATATTCATGACAGGGGCATCTGGGTGGCTCAGTTAGTTAGGAGTCTCACTGTTGATTTCAGCTTAGGTCATGATCTCACAGTTTATGGGACTGGGCCCCCCCTGGACTTTGCACTGAGAGCACGGAGTCTGCTTGGGATTCTCTCTCTCTGCTCTCTCACTACCCTGGTTGTGCAATGTGCATGTGCTCTCTCTCAAAATTAATAAATAAACATTTAAAAATATATATTCATGGCAGAAATTAACAAAGACACAATTGGAGAGATTATACCTTATTAATAGATTAGAAGACTCAATATTGTTAAGATGTAATCTTCACTGAATTGTTAAGATGTGCTTTTCACTGAATTATAAATTTAGTACAGTCACAATAAAAATTCCAGATTTTTATTGTAGAAATTGACAAACTGATAACAAAATTCTTATGGAAATGTAAAGGACTTAGTATAGCCCAATCAACTTTGGAAAAAACTTGAAGGGCTAACATTATGTTTTCCAGAATTAGCTAGAAAAACCACATTGTGATATTAATGTAAAATTAAACAAATAGATCAGTGGAACAGAATGTAGAGTTCAGAAATAAAACCATACATACTTGTTCACATATGTTTAACTACTTTTCTAAAAATTCACAAAGACAATTCAAATGTAAAAAGGATTTTTAAACAAATGGTTCCGGAAAAGCTTGTCATCCATATATAAAAAACAAAAATAAACTCAGATCTACACAACACACAATCTATACTAATTAACTCAAAGTGTATCACAGACCTAAATGTTCCAACCCAGAACTGTTGGAAGAAAACACAGATGAAGCCTTTGTGACCTTAAGATAGCCCAAATATTTTTAGCTACCACATCAAAACCATGATCCATAAAAGAACAAAATGAGAAGTTGGATTTAATTAAAATTTAAAATTAATGTTATTCAAAGACATAAGAGAATGAAAAGACATGCCCACAAACATGGAGAAAGTCTTTGTAAAGCATCTACGATAAAGGTCTTATATCAAGAAGGAACTCTTACAATATTAGGAAAATTTAAAACAATTTTTTTTAATCAAGAGTAATCAGTGTCTACTACAAAAACTTTGTGGCCATCGCATGCATAATTATATTGGATTCACATCTAATTTGTATTCTATAGAGTATTCAAGAATATAACTGTTATGTAGATTAGGGACATCCCATAAAGAACAGTATTAATGGTTTCATTTTACAAAAGAAAGGAGCATAAACTTGGACAAAAATTGTTAGTTTTCCTTTTAAAGATTCATGAGTAAGTGACCAAAACAACATGCATAAATTCATGCACAAAATTAGAGAAATTAATAGCCATTTGGCTAACGAATGATTCTCTTTTTTTACAGAGGAAATTTTCCAAATAGACCCCCTTACACTAAAGGAGTACCCTGCTCGTTATGTGCAGAAGAAGAAACTTGTGTAAAGAAGCTCTGCCGTAAGCAAAAAGAAAAAAAAATAATAATCATTTTATTCAGAGAGCAAAGTTTCCATAAATTAATTGTAATTTAAAATTTGGATCCTCAACTGTGTAGAGAATTATTGACAAGATTTGATTGCTGTTATATGATGATATAAATCATTTGTTATAAATTATCATGTTTAATTTTTTTAATGTTTATTTATTTTTGAGAAAGAGACAGAGACAGAGTGGGAGCAGGGGAGGGGCAGAGAGAGAGAGCGCAAGAGAGGGAGAAACAGAATCCAAAGCAGGCTCCAGGCTCTGAGCTGTCAGCACAGAGCCTGATGCAGGGCTCGAACCCACTAGTTGTGAAATCAGAACCTGAACTGAAGTAAGATCCTTAACCAACTGAGCCATCCAAGCACCCCATGAATTAATTAACATATTTAAGCTAAGCTGATCCCTCCTTTCTTCACTGATTATTTTTCCTTTCAAGCTAAAGGACAGAAAGAAGTAGGATACAACTTTGATCCAGTTTGCTACTATACTCAAAATAACTATTTGTTGAGCTGTATTTGTATTTGCTTCTAATCACCTCCTTTTATTAGTTACTATTAAAATAGTGGCTCATTCAGAAGTAATACATTAATGAATGTCCAAACTAATTGTGATTTAAAGCTGGTATGTTTCTTTTCCATGATCAGCCTTTTGGTTCTCACAAGAGATTTTTTTTAAGGATAAATACATAAATTCTTTTTTTTAAATTTTTTTTTAATGTTTTTATTTATTTCTAGGAGAGAGAGAGAGAGAGACAGCATGAGCGTGGCTCTGAGAGAGGGAGTCACAGACTGAAACAGGCTCCAGGCTCTGAGCTGGCAGTCAGCACAGAGCCCGACGCGGGGCTCGAACCCACAAACCGCGAGATCATGACCTAAGCGAAAGTCGGATGCTCAACCGACTAAGCCACCCAGGCGCCCCAGGATAAATACATAAATTCTTGATTGGAAAAGAATTTTGAGTGAAACATGGGAAGAGAGATGACCTGAAAATTTTGAGGAGGAGGGAGAGGAGTAAGAAGAGAAGATTTGGTGCCACAAAAGAAGACACAAAAAGAATGCATATTAAATGATTCATTTATATAAAGTTCAAAAATGAGGCAAAACTAACCTACATTTGGCATTTGGAGTCAGGACAGTAGTTACCTTTAGAGAAGAAAGAGGAGTTCGTTGGGTAGAAGAGGACACCAGAAGGACTTTCTAGACCTATGCTATGGTTATCTACATCTGTCCACTTTGTAATAATTCATCAGTCTTTCCATTTATAGGTATGCATACTTCCATATTCATGTTATATGTCAGTTAAACAATGAGTTGGAAGTATGGCCCCTCTGAGTTTACATTTCATTCAGAGCAGTTTAAAAAATAAATTTACTGTATATCTCCTATTTGAAAATTATTTTTTAATTAAAAGGACATAAAGGTAACAATGTTATACTCCTCTTTTTCAAATTTTATTTAAATTCAAGTTAATTAACATATTGTGTAATAATGGTTTCAGGAGTAGTATTTAGTGATTTATCACTTACATATAACACCCAGTGCTCATCCCAACAAGTGCCCTCTTCAATGCCCATCACTCAGTTAGCCCACCCCCCCACCCAACACCCCGCCAGTAAGCCTGTTTGTTCTGTATCTAAGACTCTCTTATGGTTTGTCTCCCTCTGTCATTATCTTATTTTTCCTTCCCTTCTCCTGTTTGGTTTCTTAAACTTTTGTCTCCCATCATCTCTTAAGTTCTACATATGAGTCAAATCATATGATATTTATCTTTCTCTGACTGACTTATTTCACTCAGCATAATACACTCCAGTTCCATCCACGTTGTTGCAAATGGCAAGATTTCATTCTTTTCAATCGCTGAATGATATTCCATTGTATATATATCTACCACATCTTCTTTATCCAGTAGATGGACATTTGAGCTCTTTCCATAATTTGTCACTCACTCTCTTTTTTTCTTTTACTACTCCTTGTTGTCCAGTATCCAAGCCACTGTTATTTCTCACCTGAACTAGTAGTTTCCCACTACTGGTGGGAAATTTCCTTCTCCAAATTGTTTTACAGAAAGAAAATCCAGATCAGATTACTTTTCTTAAAACTCCTCAATTGCATCTCACTCCAATTAAAGAAAAACATGACTCTCTTCCAAGGTCAACAAGCCCACACATGATCATTCTGGCTCTTCCTTTTCTCCCCTACCATTTTTCTTGTTATCCTCCCTTTGACACACTAAGATTCATGATCACCATCCTCAAAGACTCCATCCTCTTCCTGAAATCTCCAGTATCTGGATCACCTGTGGGTCTGTTTCTAGTTTCAAGATTGTTTTGTTTTCTCTTGGTTTTGGTAATACACTCTGTTTGTTGGTGTGGTGAATTATCTTTAAAGATGGCCAGTAAGAGGGGCGCCTGGGTGGCTTAGTCGGTTGAGCGTCGGACTTTCGCTTAGGTCATGATCTCGCGGTTCGTGGGTTCGAGCCCCGCGTCGGGCTCTGTGCTGACTGCCAGCTCAGAGCCTGGAGCCTGTTTCAGTCTGTGACTCCCTCTCTCTCTGACCCTCCCCTGCTCATGCTGTCTCTCTCTCTCTCCTAGAAATAAATAAAAATATTTTTAAAAAAATAAAATAAAATAAAGATGGCCAGTAAGAAATCCTCCCCTTCCTATACATATGCCAGTCTTCCTCCCAAAAAAGTGGACACTATTTCTCTTCTCCTTGAACAAGGACTTGATATTGTACCAGTTTGGCCCGACTCTTTAGAACAGACTTGACAACTTGGGCTTTTGTTCTGATGGAAGCTTCCCAGCATTTCAAGAAATCCATTCTCTCCTGCTGGAGAGGTTACACTGAGAGAAGCCTTGGAAGAGGAGACGTCATCTTTCTATTTCAACCCCAACTGCACGCCAGCTGTATGCAGCTATGTCTTTGAGTCCCGATGACATTATATAGAGCAGAGTAATTGCCTACCAGAGCCAGCCAATCTAGAAATAGTAAGAAATAATAACAAACTGTTATTGTTTTAAGTCTTTAAATTCAGGAAGTTTGCTTCACACCAGTACATTACAAAAACACTTGGTGTATGTCTATTAAGCTTCTTTTAAACATCTAAAAACGTGTAAAACAAAAATGTAGAGTTCTACCTTTTCCTCTGCTGAACAGAGTCAGTGCTATTCACCTTAATCCAACACAATTTAGTCAACGCTGGCTTAGAATTTATGTAAGGTTTGATGTATTTCTGTTTGTCCCTGTTTTAAGGGTGTAGACTTCTAGAGCTTTCCAACGAGACACTGGTGTGTTCAATGTTGCCTTTTCCTAATGGGTTCTGAATTCCAATCCTTATTGCTTTAGCATTTTGAAATTACTGAAAAATCTACCTTGCTTTCCAGAGGTTTTCACCTTAAGATTTTAGCCTTCTGCCCCTCATAGCTTCCAGATTAAACAAATAGTCTGAATACAAAATGGCCATCTCTTGGGCTCATTTCCTTCACCTTTACCTTTCACCCAGATCTTGAACTACTTAATTCTCCAATTTTATATTTCTAGTCTTATAAGATTAACAAAAGCTCCGCTGGCCTCTGTTTCCCAAAAATCAACCTCTGCCTGGGCAAAGCCCAGATTTTCAGCCCTAGACCTGGGCCCAAAATGAACAAATGGCTCCAGAGGAAAAAAAAAAAAAAAGGTTTCATAACGCCAGCCCATCTCTCTGTGGATCTACAGCTCTGAAATCTTGACCCTCTAGTCTTTGTTGCTCTAGCAAATCTCCGAGGCTCTTAAACATTGTTTTGTTGTACTTTATCTGGATTTTCTAGTTGTGCTCAATGTGGACTTTTGTCAGTCATGATCTTCTACATCCCAAGATTCAAGCAGTTATTAACAATGGGTCTCCAAGACAGCACCACACAGCTGCCAAGGTGACATTAACCTTTGCTATCTGGTAGGAGGTGTTTTCCCAATTTGTTTCTTTTCTAAATTATTCAAAAATTATTTGGCTCTTCTTGGACCTTTGCTCTTGCAAATTAATGTTAGGATAAGCTGATCAATTACACAAAACACCTTGAAATTTTGGTTGGATTTACATTGGATTTATAGATAAATTGGGGAAAGAACTGACATCTTTTCTCTGGTTTCCATTTGCTTAAGGTCTATGATTTTTGGGGGCACCTGGGTGGCTCAGTCAGTTGAGCGTCCGACTTCGGCTCAGGTCATGATCTCACGGTTTGTGGGTTTGAGCCCCGCATCGGGCTCTGTGCTGCCAGCTCAGAGCCTGGAGCCAGTTTCAGATTCTGTATCTCCCTCTCTCTCCGACCCTCCCCGCTCACGCTGTCTCTCTCTCTCTCTCTCAGAAATAAATAAAACATTAAAAAAATTTTTTAAAAAAAGGTCTATGATTTTTGATTTGTGCCTTTTCTCTTATACGTTGATCAGTGTTTTTATAAACCCAATTTTTAGTTTTGTTGACTTCCTTTTTGAGAGACATGAGGAAATATCATATAATGGCTAAATGTATAGGTCTTAGAGTCAGAAGGCTTAATTCAGAAGGTGAGTGATTTGTCCTCAAATTAAATAAGTTCTCAATAAATTTTAGCTATTATAGTTAAGTCCTCATTATTTTCTATCATTTGACCTAGTTTATGTCTTTCATAGCACTAATCACTCTCTGGAATGATAAATTTTATTCATTTTTATTTATTTTAAAATTGATGTTAGATTTTTCTCCCCTTACTTTTCTGTAAGGAAATTTTATTTTTTCCTGATAACTATTTATACCCAAAGCCTATAATTATGTTCAATCACACAGTAGACACTCAAAAAGTGAATGAATTAACAAAAAAATAAACAAATGAATTCCTATAAAATTGCAGGATCTTGTTAAAGAGAGGAAAAAAATGAAGAGGGAAAGACATAGAGCAAAATTTGGAGCAAGAGCCACCCCAGAAAGGAATGAAATGTTTAATGGAGGGCTCTGGGTACCAAAAAGTCAACTTGAAAGAGTTACATTCTTTTTCAAAGAATTTAAAGGACATGGCAGAGTGTCACAAGTAAAGTTAACTACTTTCTATAGTTTTGTCAAGTTTAGGCTTTTTTGCCTTCCACGTGAGAGCTGCTCTAGAAATGTCAGTTGACATGACTGTTGGCAGCGGCATCATATAGATTTTTAAACAATGTGGGATTGGGGAAGGAAGCTTTCATTTTCTTAAGTTAAACTAAGTTTAAAGCCAAACTAAGTTTCCTAAGTTTATTATCTTATTTAAAAGGCCAGAGAAGCAAGTGAATGCCTTTAAATCTATAATTTTTTTTCTATCTTAGGTAATAAAGAACTTGATAAGCCTGAAAGTACGTATCAAACTATTTCAATACTGATTCAATTACTTCTCCCCCTTGAAACGAAATAAAGCTTTTAACTGCTGTGTTTTCTTGACAGAATATCCAAATTGGAGCCCACAAGGGAAGGCACCTCAGCCGATATCATGTAGCTCACTGTGCCTAGTTTCTGTTCTTCTGAAACTATTTTAATTATCATTTATATACAAGAAACATTCTCAGACATGACAATAAACAAATAGTTTATGGCTGAATGTAACTCGCATTGGTTTAATTCTTAAAATTTCTACACTCTGGTCTGTTATCTGAGTTGAATGTCTGATTTTAACATAAGACATATTGTGGTATAGAAGAAGGGTAACAATAAAAAAAAAGGCGTTTTTAAAAGTTACAATTTTATTTATTTTTTAAAGTTTTTTTTTAATGTTTTACTTACTTTTGAGGAAGAGAGAGACAGCGTGAGCAGGGGAGGGTCAGAGAGAGAGGGAGACACAGAATCTGAATCAGGCTCCAGGCTCTGAGCTAGCTGTCAGCACAGAGCCTGACGCGGGGCTCGAGCCCATGAACCATGAGATCATGACCTGAGCTGAAATCGGATGCTCAACCGACTGAGCCACCCAGGTGTCCCAAAAGTTATAATTTTACATTGGATCAAAAGAGTCCCATTCTCTAATTTTCTAGAATGTCATTTTAGTTACGGTAGACTTAAAGAACTTTTCAGATATTAGATATTTTCCCTCATATGCCTTTAGTTTCCCCTAAGAACACCAGCAACATTATTCAGAAACAAAATGTTATTAAGGAAAATATCAGATAGTATATAATGTCATATTATGGTCATAATCAATAGGGAAATGGATGAGAACAGATTAAAAGGGAAGTCAACTAAATTTTAAGCCCTTGGAGATTTTATTTTAAAATGCATCTTGTATAAAATAACAGGATATAGACAGTATACCTTTTAAAATCTATACAACTCTAGTATATAGTTAATAACACTCTACAAACCAAAGAATTAGTTAATTCCGGCATTTCTTTTGTCTGAAGACAAAAAAAAAATTCAATTCAATTTGGCTTTAAAAATCAGTTATGTTTAATTGTTCACTCCTGTGGACTAAACTACCTAGATCTTTTTCTTCTCAGCTAAAGCAACCACCAACTTCCTTCTGCTATAGATATCAAAAACTATTTTTAAATGTATTTTTAACATGACTAATAGTTGTTTTGTTTACATTGCCAAATACCTAGGAATCTCCACATAGCTGGACAATTGTTGCTATTCTTTAAAAAAAAAAAAAAAAAGCCAAATGATCTTATATTTCAAATCTGTTTGTATTGGTCAGGGTTCTCTGCTGAGAGCCGCACCAGCCTCGCTGGATGACAGTCACAGCGAGGAAATGGCAGCGCTTGCACATCTCCTGCCATGAGAAGCAAAACTGGTATCTCCTTCTGCTACTACTGGCTCATGTTGGAAATGAGCCTGCTGGTTTTGACCAGGCCTCACAATATTCCAGTGCAGACTGATATTCCCCACACAGATTCCTCATAAGGAAAAGCCTTCAAAAGAGATTTTAGATGAAAGCACTGTGGATGATTGTCAAAAGGCTCTTCCTATGGACCTTGCAGATCCAAGACTTAGATAATAAAGGGGGTTAGGAACACAAGAGTTACAACTGAGCCTGGCCCTGAGACAAAGAGCCTAATTTAGAGTTAAGGTGAAGAGCTTAAGTAACGTCATTTTGAGATTAAGGCCTCCATTAAGAGCAACCTCAGGCTGCACGTAGCCCCTAAGCTATTATCAAGATTCGGGTGCTGGGGAGCCTGGGTGGCTCAGTCGGTTAAGCGTTGGACTTCAGCTCAGGTCATGATCTCACTGCTTGTGGGTTTAAGCCCCATGTCAGGCTCTGTGCTGACAGCCACCTCAGAGCCTGGAGCCTGTTTCAGATTCTGTGTCTCCCACTCTCTCTGACCCTCCCCTGTTCATGCTGTGTGTGTGTGTCTCTCTCTCAGAAATAAATAAAAGACATTAAAAAAAATTTTTTTAAAAGAGTCAGGTGCTTAACCAACTGAGCCACCTAGGCACCCCCTTCATGGATTTTTTTAAATTGAACTTTCTCATGAATAAATAAAACTATCCTCTGATTTGTAATATAACCACCTCTTTACCTCTTCAGACACATTATTCATCCAAAAGCGTATTTCCTTAAATCAGATTAACTTAAATTCTACAGACCACATTAAAAAATGAATTTTTATAGAGTTATATTCACTGATTTTGAAGACATATTTGTCAGAACATTAAGTTGGCACAGCTATAGGAACTTGCAAGTAGTGGTGTTTCTCAGAAGAGGGGGTCTGTATTTGCAGAGCTCTCTATCTACACTGAGGCTGTGAACAGGGACTGGGTAGATGGGAGTACACACTGCCTTACTTAGTGGGGTCTCCCCTCATTAGCAAGCAGAAAAATTCTCAGTCAAGGAACTGTCTTTTCTATTCCTTATGATCACAACCACAGACTCTGCATAAGGTATCTTGGGAGACTTGACATCACTAGCAATTCTTTTACTCTGAGCAGGATCTTTTGCAACCTTAAATAACCCTCCTATTTCACTCAGTTTGCAATTACTAGACAAACTCCTCCAGGTTTAGCCTTTTCAAATAACTGAGGGCACTTCACTTAGCATTTAAACAGTGTATTTTTTGGAGGGGATCCTCTTGTTCTACTAGACTATGTTTGAAGTTTCCACACATTTGGCTAATCACTTAGAGGTAAAGTGATCACACTCACCAGTCTTAGCTGAGCCAGGTTTATCCCATTCTTACCCTTTGGAAACAATCATGAACAAATGATTTAAACAGCAGTCTCTATAGTTTTCTGGTTATGCATTCTTCTCAGTAAAGATAGATAGATAGATAGATAGATAGATAGATGATAGACAGATAGATACACACACACACACACACACATATATATAGTACTATATATATATAAAACCTCTCTACTATATATAACCTCTCTACTGTATATATAGTAGAATGGGAGTGGCCGACAGTCCTGGTTTGCTAAGTCTGAGAATTTCTCTAGGACACAGAAAAACACAGTAAGCCCAGGGCATTCCCGAACAAACCAGGAAGTTGATGACCCTAAAATTGAATCAAAGTAAAAATGTATTGGGGCACCTGGGTGACTCAGTTGGTGGAGCATCCAACTCTTGATCTCAGGGGCATGAGTTCAAGCCCCACACTGGGCATGGAGCCTACTTTAAAAAAAAGTATATATGTATCATTTAATTACATGCATTATATGTATTTTTGTAATACAGCAATCTACATCTTAAAATACACAATAATTGAACCTGAAAAGGATGACATAATAAAAAATTAAAAATTAATGCTAAAGAGATGATTACTCCAGGAAGATCATAAGGATCAAACAACTGATACTGTTTGCTTGAACTTGTGCCTTTACAACTATAATTAGTCTGCAATTTCCTTTCAGCAAAACATATGACCATTTTGTAATGGGTGGCTTAGTTAAAACCAGGTAATGTACTCTGTAATTAAATCTACCCAGGTACATGTATTGCAACAAAAGAAATAAACAAACCCCATAATCATCACTCCCTGTAGAATTTCCATTTGTCCTTAGGAAAGGCATGTACCACTTTGACCAAGTCCCCTGTCCAAAAACCACTGGGAACTCAAGTGGAGTTGTACACACTAGATTTGTTCCTTATAAAATTAATTCAGTAAATATGTATTAAAAATGCATAATGTGTCTGACACCATACTGTTAAAAATATATTTTAGTCCTTGTCAATATAAGTAAAAATGAGATAGTATTTATTAATATTAATAATAGTAATACCTAACACTAAGTAATGTATACCATGTGCCAAGCAGTAAGTGTTTAACATATAATAATTATATAATCCTCTCAATAACCTGTGAGGTAGATGCTATTTTCTTTTCTTTTTTTTAATTTACTTATTTTAAGAGAGTGAGAAAGAGCATGAGAGGGGGAAGGGTAGAGAGGGAGAGAGAGAATCACAAGCAGGCTCATCAGCATGAACCCCTATGTGGGGCTCCATCCTACGAACCTTAAAACCATGGCCTGAGTTGAAACCAAGAGTCAGACACTTAACGGACTGAGCTACTCAGCTGCCCCAAGTTTCATTTTTTGAACCACTACTAGATTTAAACATATTTTTATAAGCTGCATTCAGACTTCAAATATACTTTTTGAAAGCTATTAAGATACCATGAAGAATGCTGTCTTTTGGTCAAGGATTCCTAGGAGTTATTGCATACATATAACCTCTCTAAATAAAGACTGACTTCAAGAATACAGAAGTAACATAAATTTAGGAGTCAAATTTTATATAAATATTACCAGGTTTATATTCAATTTTATGGCTAGATAGAGACAAACTGTATTTTGGTTCCTAAGACCCAAACTTTACTTGGAATCTGGTTTTGTACAGTACATCTTACCTATATGTGAAAATAATAGATGCTGCATGAATATTTCCACTACAGTTCCTGGCTTTTTTTTTTTTTTTTTAAGTGCCTGCTCATCTCCTTCATCTATTTTTCTAATGGTGTTGTTCATTTTCTTAGGAATTTTAGTGATTCTTAAATATGCCTTAACAGCACATCAGTGATTTTAATCCTTTGACATTTATCTAGCAAATACCTTTCTCAGCTGTCCCCTATTTAGATTTTAATGAACTATAAAGTCCATCTTTCCACTTCTGAGTTTGAATTTTATTTGTACCATCATTTTGGTTTCTTATAACACTTGTCACACACCATTATCATAATTTTAATTGCTGGGTTATAGAATAGATCAATTAAGTGAAGAGTGACAGAAAAGTGAAAGAGCAAGAGTAAAAGTGGTACGTCTCTCCAATAACATCTCTACAGACAACAAAATTACACACATCAGTAACTGTAGACTTACTGCATGATCATTCTCCTTAGGTGTACATAAAAATCTATGTTGAAACTTGCTGGTTTTTATCAAAATCCAAGTACATAATGAGAGTATTATTTCTCTAAAATTTCAAGCAGTGTACATACAGAAACTGAAAACTTAAGTCCAAAGCCATCTGAGATAAGCATAAAATCTATACCCTAAAATTGCTCATATTTTTCAAGTAAAGGCAATATCTCTGTTAGACACAACGGAAAAGTAAATAGGTGTTCAAAAAGAACATCTGCAGCAGCACTTTAGTAAGATAACTTAGTGATAATTTGTTTTTCACATTGCTTATAAAGAAATAGATGATTCTGTCAATATCCTCTACCAATTCCATTGCCCTCAAGAAGTGTAATGTGTTAAATTATATCACTACTTTCAAAATTAAGACCGTTAAAATTTCTTTGAGGGCTAAATAGGCCAAAATGTCAAACAAAAAGTCACAAACTATAAAAACTTAGGAGAAAACTAACATATCTTTTGTCGTTGTTGGGGAAGAAGAATTTCCTTTCCTATTCATGGTCGTTCTAGCCAGACTAAGAATCAAAATGACATGAGACAGATTAACAGGTGAAAATCAAACTTATGTATGTATGGGGAATCCAAACAGGCATGGGAATTCCAAAGACAGTCAGGCAAAATGAGATATGCATGTCATTCTAAACTAAGAAGAGATAGAGATCTCGGATCTCAAAGAGAAGGAATGTAATTCACTGAAAAGGGAAAAGAGGAAATGTTTGATAAATGTTTCAGAAACAATGGGACATAGAGGACTTTGATCAAACAGGCTTTGCAAGGTTCCTCCCTGTCAACAATACCTAGTTCACAGTATAATGTAGTAATCTATGGTGATAACTCTCTTCCTAGAGAAGGTCCTCTATCTAAATTCTTTTTAGGGAGTTGCTGGGGTGAGGGGTGGGGGAGGGGGAGGGATGTGTAAAGAGCTTTTCCTGAATCTACTGGGTTTTGATTGCTTTTTAATTCAAAATAGTCTTCACACCAAGTGGCCCATCTTGGGGCAGCCTGCCCTTGGCCCCTACAATACTGATGTACTGTATCACAGTCTGTGATTTTAATACATAAAATGTTAAACAATGAGTAAATAATCCTCAAGTATTACATGTCTCCTTAAAATTTCTGAAAAAATGTATTTTAGAATGTAATGCATTGAAAATACTCCTTGTATAAAATACATGATGTGGACCAACTCATTCACATATCTGAAAGACTGAGTATTTGCAGAACATCCTCAGCAAACCCAACTTCTTTCCACACAACCCAAACTTTCTCTTACTAAAACTAGCTCTACCACTTACTGGCTGGGTAACTTTAGACAAATCACTTGACCTCTTTTTCTGAGTTTTTCCATCTGTAAAACAGAGAAAATAATAGTATCTGTTTCTTAAGACTTTTATGATTTAAATGAGTTGATATCTTCCAAACCTTTAAAATAGCACTAAATATTTCTGAAAACAATGGTGACAATTATACAACACTGTGAATGTAACTGCCACTGAATTTTACACTAAAAATGGTTAAAATGGTAACGTTTATGTTAATGTATATTTTACCACAATAAAAAAATAAAAAATAAAATAAAATACTGCCGGGATGCCTGGGTGACTCAGTCAGTTAAGCATCCAGCTTTGGCTCACGTCATGATGTAGCAATTCGTGGGTTCAAGCCCTGCATCGGTCTCTGTGCTGACAGCTAGCTCAGAGCCTGGAGCCTGTTTCAGATTGTGTCTCCCTCTCTCTCTTACCCTCCCCTGTTCATGCCGTCTCTCTCTCCCTCAGAAATAAATAAAAATATTTAAAAATAATAAAATAAAATAATGAATAAAATAAAATACTGCCTGACACAGAGTAAGGATTTTTTAAATAAAGTAAAAAGAGCGTTTACTACTCTGCATTATAATTATTTGATGACTCGTCCGTATCACTTTACCGAAAGCTTCATGTGGATAGACTACGTATTTGGCTTGTTCAACATTTGTAGCTCAAACACCTATCATGGACTCAGACACATAGGAGGTCCTAAAGAAATACTCATTACTGAGTGTGGTGTCTGCAATAGAATGGATTGCCTAAGAGAGAGTGATTTCCTTGTTAATGCAGTTATTTAACCGTAAGTATAATGATCACCTATTAATCACGTGTCAAAGCATATGTCCAATACATGGGACTAGTAAAAGTGTCTAAAATTTCTTCCTAATCTAAGATTGCATTATACTATGTATCTTGTGCTTTAATATAGCAATTTTCATAAACAGTACCAACATAATAAAGGAATCCATCTTTTACCAGTCCACCTTTACCCCTAAAGTAGGCTCTGGTTTTCCTGAAACACTTTTAGCCTTTTCAGACCTCTTGGCATATTTACATGCTTTTTGCCTTTGTTTAGAATATGCTCTGTCACCTGTATGCTTCACCTTCTTGATGTCACATTCTCTAAAAAGGATTCCATGGTCCTCAAAAGGGTTGTTAGTTGTCCCAAACATGCTGCAATAGCATTTTGGTTTTGTTTTTATCACATGATCTAAGAGGTACCAATTTGCTAGTTCTCTTAATCTGCAGGCTCTTTGGAAGCAGAGTCTGGGTCTTTCTCAACTATTTAACACATTGCCTGCCTAAATATTTATTGAAAGCATAATGGCATGAATGAAACCATCTTGTGAGGTCTACCGCTTTTAATTAGGTACACCGTAATTTTTTAAAGCACATTTGTTTGTAGATATTTTTGAGCAAGGAGTCCACTGCCTCCTTTGTGGCAAAATTCTATTCCGCTATCGGTGATTTCAAATATCCCTTTAACGCTATTGAGCACAATATGTTACATGCAAATGTGTACCCCAAAAACAAACACATGCTTTTATTTTTGTGCCTAGAACTTACATTCTTCAAAGCAGTTTTTCTTTTTTTTTTTTTTTTTTAAATGTTTTATTTATTTCTGAGAGAGAGGGAGAGACAGCGTGAGCAGGGGAGGGTCAGAGAGGGAGACACAGAATCTGAAGCAGGCTCCACGCTCATGAGCTAGGTGCCAGCACAGAGCCTGATGCGGGGCTCGAACCCACTAACCGTGAGCTCATAACCTGAGCCGAAGTCGGACGCTTAACCGACTGAGCCACCCTGGCGCCCCCAAAACAGGTTTTCTTGAGCAAAATGTTTGGAGGTGAAGGAACCAAGCCAAAATCTGCTAAGACACCAACGATTCTGTCTGAAGGAAAGAAAAGAAAACAAAAAATGAGTTCTTACGTACTGTGAACAAGACAATTTGCCAGAGATGATGAATACTGATATTCCAGTCTGTCTATACTGCACGGGCGAGAAGAAATGTACTTTAACTTCATGAGAGTTTGATGATTCCAAGTCTATGCCCTAAAAGCTGAGCTTTCACTTTTCCATATATTCTGTGGTTCCTCCAAAAGATTATTAAAACACTGAGAGACGGGGCACTTGGGTGGCTCGTGGGTTAGGCGCCTGACTCTCCAGTTCTGCTCAGGTCCTGAGGTCCGTTTGTGAGTTCGAGTCCCACATCGGGCTCCCTGCTGACTAAACAGGGCCTGCTTGGGGCTCTCTCTCTCTCTCTCTCAAATAAATTTTTAAAAAGAAAAAAAAAAACTGAGAGAAAATCTCAATGAGGAGGTCCACCTCACCTTAAAGAGGAAATACTTTTGTCCAAGAGGAAAATAAAGGGCCGTCCTGAACTATGCTTCTAACTCAACAGACAAGAATGGAACAAAAAAGATTAACTGCCATTTTATCTGCAACACAGAAGAAAACTCATTTCCCCTTGCCTAATTAGAAGGTCCCTCCGACATGTTCATTACTCAGCAATTGGCAATCGGTAGGCAGACGGCTCATTAATAAACGATGACGCATCGTTTGGTGTCAGAAATCAATTCTGGATAGGGGCGCCTGGGTGGCTTAGTCGGTTAAGCGTCCGACTTTCGCTTAGGTCATGATCTCGCGGGTCGTGGGTTCGAGCCCCGCGTTGGGCTCTGTGCTGACTGCCAGCTCGGAGCCTGGAGCCTGTTTCAGTCTGTGACTCCCTCTCTGACCCTCCCCTGCTCACGCTGTCTCTCTCTCTCCTAGAAATAAAGAAAAAAAAAAACATTAAAAAAAAAAAAGAAATCAATTCTGGATAATATTCAGCTACATCGGTTTAGTGAAAAGCCTGCATCCATTTAACCCAAGGCTCTTCGGATGGTTCCGCAGACAGCTCTGACGAGTCTCTCCACCCTGCACGTCTCCGGTTCCCGCGGCTCCCTAGGCGCCCTCCGGGGAGACGGGGGCCCGCTCACCCGCGCGCCCACGCAGAGCGGCGGGTCACGCGGGCAGGCGGGCGCGTGCGCACTGGCCTGTCTGCAGCCGCTGGGCGATGGAGGCCCCAAGGACATTAGCGCCCGAGCCGTCCGCCCGATCGCTTCCCTGGGTGCGAGGGGTCCTTTTGAAGCTGTGGCTGTGTGAACTCTGGCTACTACTACTGGATTCCGGTGTGAACGCGAAACTTTTGCCTCACGAAGAGGAAGTATATTTTATCAATGAGTACGTGAACCTCCACAATGAGCTCCGGGGCAACGTCATCCCCCGAGGGTCTGACTTGCGCTTCATGGTGAGGCTCTAAGGCGGTTGCCGAACCTCCGACAACCCCCTTGTCACGACGCCACCCCTCGGCCTCGGAAGCCCTGGCCACGGCTTCACGAGGCTTACGGATGGCGGGCAACTGCACTCTGGTGTGGCTTTAAAATGCGCTTGGGGCGCCTGGGTGGCTGAGTCGGTTAAGCGTCCGACTTTCGCTTAGGTCATGATCTCGCGGGTCGTGGGTTCGAGCCCCGCGTCGGGCTCTGCTGACTGCCAGCTCAGAGCCTGGAGCCTGTTTCAGTCTGTGACTCCCTCTCTCTCTGACCCTCCCCTGCTCACTCTGTCTCTCTCTCTCTCCCCTAGAAATAAAAAATAAAATAAAATAAAAACATTTAAAATACGCTTAAGAAATAAAACACTCAAGAAATAAAACCACTGTGTGACACACAGTTATGACCAAGATTTTCCAGAGCTGGGACTGTAGAGGCACTCACCTGAGGGACTGTCTCAATCACCTCGTCCTTGTCCTGGCCCCGATTTTGCATTCCCTTACAATGTTATTCTTGCTTTTTTCCTCATTTTCCCCCTCCTATGTCTATTTTACATCTCATCAACTGTTTCTCCTTCAGTCTGGATGATTGTCATCAGAAATGGCTGCAAAATTTATTGGATAAATATTCTCTTCCTAGGCAATTAGGAGCTTCCAACTTACATACAAATGATATTGCAAGGACTGTCTCCCTAGATAGAAGTCTGTTCTTCCTTCTGGATTAATTCCTTAGACAAATTCAAGAAAAAGGATAGATAAATTAAGGATATGATATTTTTATTTATATGACATATAGCAATTGCTATTCTAAAGGACTGCACCAAATTAAGCAAATACCAGCAGTGCATAATAACTTACTTACACACGGTCATGGGAAGCGATGAACCTAAATACTTATAAACTTCTAGCTGAGAGTTAGACTTCCTGGATTTAAATCCAGGCTCCACAGTTTACTGGCAATAAGCAGCTATTAAGTAAACTACTTAATTTTTTTAATTTACTTTTTTTGTGAATTAGAAACAGCTATAATAATACATCACTCGTGGAATTATTGTAAAAATTAAGTGAAATAATGCATAAAAACACTTAGACCAGTGACTGGTATATAGTAAGCTTGTGATGTGTAAACAAAATGCAAAATAAGACAGTAGGAGGATAGTCCTTGGAGCATTGTTTGCAGGTAGATAACTACCTAAAGGTACCGTTAATAGTGGAATGGTAACATTTATTATCTGCTACCCATACTATGGAATATAATGTAGAGTTTATAAGACAGGTGGATCAAGTTGTGCTAAAATGGAAAAATCAGAGAAAACTGCAAAGTTGTAGGGCACCTATTTTGTGTATAGTATGATTAAAATAGTGCAAAGGAAAAAAATCACACAATACCTACCTGAAACATCCACACTTGTATCTTATATTTGAATATGTTTGTATGTGTATGTATATAGACATAGAGAAATGTGTACCTAAGCAATTTTTTTAAACGACTATTACCTTTGGGGAGGAAAGTTACGGGGGGAGTATTCTGAAGGCATGATTTATTTTCTATATTTCCTGTACTTATGTATGATCTAATTAACTAAGAAAACTCTAAGGAAATCTTAGTATTGGTTTTCAGAAATGTTTATTTTCAGATATACCATAACGTGTACAAAGCATTTTGATTTTACAACTATTTTACTGGTTTATCTATGGGTGTTGCTTTTGTTCTTGTCTATAAGTAAACACTGAATTTAATGAGTCTCTAAATAATGATAAAATTACATATTTCTGGATATTTCCAGGGCTAGCTGAGAGACACTATCTTATGATATTTTCTTACATTTCTGGGATTATCCATAAAACTTTACATTTGCCTCTTTTATAGTATTTACCAAGTACTACTATGTGTTAAAATCTTATATATAAAATATAGAAGAGAAAATTTATGCCAGACTTCATATTTATTTCTCACATTACAATAGTTTACATATACTCAGTATTCAACAAATAGTTCTTAGATGAATATTTTAAATGATTGTATTACTATGTATAAAAGGAATGAGGTTAAAAGTATATATTCTGAATAGACTACATGTAAGAGTATTACAACCATTTGCATCATCTAACAATCTGATTTTTTAATTACAAATATATGAATAGTCCTTTCCCTCAGGAAATAGTTATTTCATTTATGATTAACTCAAAAGCGTTTTCCCCCATAAAAATTTCTAAAACCAGACCCATAAGCACAAGTACTGTTTTCCTTAAATCTGATATGAGAACTCCAGGAAAATAATTTAGAGAACAATAACAACAACCAAAACCCTCATTATTATTTTGTTTTCTTTGCTCTTTGCATTTTTTTTCAGACTTGGGATGTAGCTTTGTCACGGACTGCTAGAGCATGGGGGAAAAAGTGTTCACGTGAGCATAATCCTCATTTAAAAGAACAAAGCATGGCCCATCCTAAATTTAATGGTATTGGTGAAAATATATGGATTGGTCTTGAAAATGAATTTACTGCAAGTATTGCTATCAGAAGTTGGTATAAAGAGAACAAAAGGTACCATATTGAAAATGACAGTTGCTCTAGTGACTGTTCTCATTATAAACAGGTATCTAATTTTATATTAATTCAATAGATTCCTTAATTGCTTTATTACTAAGTTTTTATTATGTTTAATATTATAAATAAACCCAAATGGTAAGTTACTTCTAATAGAATCAAAATTCTAATTAGTCCTAGATCTTTGAAATGTTTGTAATTCCATCTATTACATGAACCATGCAGTTAAAACATTTCTTTAAATATGTAAATCTCATCTCCATACCCAAAAATGAAAGGTACTTTTCTAAAAGTACCACATACTGGAAAAGGAGGAAACAGCAAATAAAAATTATTTTTAAATTGTTGTCTACAAACATAAGTAAAAGACTGGATTATTTTGCACAGATCAGTATACATACTGTGTATAGCTGATTGATTGAAGCATGTGAAGTGCAAATTAATAGTACTATTTTCCTGTCTCCTATCTAACAGTCCATGTTTACACTCTATGCTCCAAGAATACTGAACTACCTGTTATTTCCTCTACATTTATTATTTCACATATCACATTAGTTATAATCATCTTTTATATAAGATACTGCACTAAGTACAGAGACCTTGTCTTATCCACATGTCATGAATAAGATGTCTCAACATGACAACAACATAACATTATTTTGGTCTCCCATAAATATTTGTACCAAGTATCAAGAAATTATTAGATGAACTTTGAAGCTGATTTAAGAGATGTTTATTTTTCAGTCAGTAAGCTCTCATGTCATGTTTTATTCAGAACTTAAAATTTTATAATTTTAAGACATGTTGAACTCATGTCTTTATGTTCCATCAAATGAATCATGTTTTAAAAGATGTTTGTCCAGTTCTTTCTTCTTCTAGAAAGTGATAGTGGTTCTCCATTGTCTTACTCATATCAAAGCCAGACTCCTTAATATGATTTTAATAATCCCAGTAAATTAACCACATCTGCTCCATGATCTACTCCTCTGTTATTTTTTACTCTTTAATTCTGGTATTATAGACATTTTTGTTTCTTGTATTTTACCTGCTTAACTCCATTTCAACTGTTGTAGGCATTGTATTCTCTATTCTTTTAACATATCACTCTATTTAAGAATCACACTTTTAAAACCACTAAAACTTGGGATAAAGAGAAAAAGAAACCAGAAACTGTTTCTATCACAGAGGTTAACAAGACCAAACAAGTACTTTCCTATTATGTGAAAGTATTAGCCATACAGAGAATTTATGGAATATCTTCAATCGTACTCATATTGTCACTCCAATTCAAGACTTTTTTCCTTTTATAGAAACCAGCTCTTTTATTCATTTTTTTAAAATTGCAGACCCAGACTCTGTTTTATTTTATAATGGCATTTCCTCAACAAAAGAATAGAGAAATGCTGACTGCATTCAGTAACTCTCTACTCTTGTATAGCCTTTCCTTCCCTTCTATAATCTTGATGTTTGTTTTTTCCTTTCTATGCACAATTTCCAGCCTTCCAAAACTTTTTCTCCTCCGTTTCCCCCTTCTTATCTGCCATAACCTAGAACTCTCAGATTCAACAGGAGTTTGAAAATTGATTCAGCATGTGTGCCTTCCTTTGACTCTAAACCATTCTGGATCAGTGTTTCTCAGACTCTTTATCCTAAAAATACAGTGGCGGAACCTATTAAAGGTTTCTCTAAATACAGTTTGGGGAATGCTTCCCAAAATCTATGATAATTCTCTACCTGCATTTGTACTATCAACAATAGCCAAAGTATGGAAAAAGCCCAAATGTCCATTGACCAATGAATGGATAAAGAAGAATATTAATCAGTGATCAAAAATAATGAAATTTTGCCATTTGCAACAACATGGATGTAACTAGAGTGTATTATGCTAAGCAAAATAAGTAATTGAAAGACAAATATATGATTTCACTCATGTGGAATTTAAGAAACAAAACAGATGAACATAGGGGAAGGGAAGCAAAATAAGATAAAAACAGAGAAGGAGGCTAACCATAAGAGACTCAAATACAGGGATCCCTGGGTGGCTCAGTTGGTTAAGCGTCTGACTTAGGCTCTGGTCATGATCTCATGGTTCGCGGGTTCGAGCCCTGAGTCAGGCTCTGTGCTGACAGCTAGCTCAGAGCCTGGAGCCTGTTTCAGATTCTGTGTCTCCCTCTCTCTCTGACCCTCCCCTGCTCACGCTGTCTCTCTCTCAGAAATAAATAAAACATTTAAAAAAAAGAGAGAGACTCAAATACAGAGAACAAACTGAAGGTTGCTGGTGTGATGATGGGTAGGGGATGGACTTAAATGGGTAAAGGGCATTAAGGAAGGCACTTGTTGAGATGAGCGCTGGGTGTTATATGTAAGTGACAAATCACTAAATTCTATTCCTGAAATCATTACTACACTATATGCTAACTAACTTGGATTTAAATTTTTAAAAATTCTCTACCTGCATCCAAATGAAGAATAGTTTATATTCCTTAAAAAGCTTGGTTAAGATTCTTTGTAAATTGAATATATTATTGTTTATAATATAGCAGAATAAATGTTTAGGATCAAATTTTATTTTCTTTGAAATATTTACTTTAGCTTGTTTGGAACACATCTTACAAAATTGGTTGTGCTGTTACTCCATGTGCAAGAGTTGGAAATATTAGACATGCAGCAGTTTTCATTTGCAACTATGCACCAGGGTAAGTTACTTTAAATTTTAAAAAGAATATTAAAATAAATTGGTAATTTTTAAAGGTTAGGTTTTCCTAACTTTTAATATATTCTTCTAAATGTCTTTGTAAACTGTAAAAGAATTAAATATAGATATTGAAGATTTTATATTGAAATATTTTCAGTTCTATAATGAAATAAGTAATATTTGGGGCATTTTGATTTAATGTATAAATTAGCCAAGTATTACTTACTAAAAAATGTTAACTTTAGTGTTATTTCACAATATCTAGTCTAATTAGCATAGGATTCAAATTAGTTTTTCCCATATTTTATCCCCATATTTGTAATAGTTTATTCCCATATTTGTAATTAAAGTCAAAGGAAATAAGTCTAGATGTGTTGATATGTATATTGTAAGAATTATTTCAGGAGTGCATCAGTTTTGTAACTGAAAGACACTTTTAATTGACCATCCTTTGCAATTGTATTATATTTGAGACTAGTCTTATTCACATAAAAAATCATAATATCTCAATGATGCAAGAGTATTAAAAGTCTTCTAGTAAATCTATCCATATGAAACTTGAATTCTTTCCACTGACTTACCATGTGATTATTTACCCTACACTTGAATACCTTCCTCAGACAGGAAATAACTACCTTCAAAAATAGTCTTCATCTCTGGAGAGCTTTGTTGGAAAGTCTGAAGTTTTCTTATAAGTCAAGATGACGCTAAGTAATATTTTATTAAAATATTCAACTAAGTGAGAAAATATCCTAATCAGTAAGTCAAGAAAACAGTAAAAATTAACAACATGCTAGGATTGAGAAAGAATTTCTGCCAAATAAAATGCTCTGGGACTAAACGCAAAAAAAAAAAAAAAGAACATTGATTACTGGTTACTGATTGTATTCCTCTGGATAGAGAAAATAACAGAACTATGATGTAAATCAAATTAGATTCAGAAAATCCTTTTTAAATTCTTTCCACTGACAGAAGTTTTGCTGACATTGAACACAGTCATGCAAAAGAAGTTCAGGATATAGAATCATTACAAAACTTTTTAGGCTTCCTTTCATTCCTATGGACTGAAAGCGTTTGGATGATGTCTATTACACGGAGAAACTTCTAAAAGTTAACTAGTGATTGGTATTGAAAGTTCAGAGAATTGGGTACTGATGTGAGGGAGGGAAGAGATTCCTCTGAGGCACTAGTTGTCATTTATGCACTCAGCAACTCTGTACAAGGCTCTGGTCTATTTACCAACAAGACCAAAAAAGGCTGACCATATTTAGTTTTTAGCCTTGGAAGGAAAATAAACAATAAATAAGTAGACACATAAATAAATAATTTTTAATTAGATAATAAAATATACCATAAAACATAAAGCAAGGTAAGCAGCTACGGAATAACCAGAATGGAAAACATATAGGGTACTTTCAAAAGAAAGTAGCATTTGGTCTAAAGATGACTAAAGAATCTTTCAGATAGAAGTAAGAGCATGTATAAAACCTTCGAGCTTGGAATGAGTTTCACATGTTTGAGAAATGAGTAACTGGTTAGAAGTAGGAGTTAAGGTAGAAAGGTGGCAGCAATACCAAATAGTATACAATAAGCCATGTTAAAGATTTTGGAATTTATTCTACTGGCTAAGCCATTGGAAAGTCTTAAGCAAGTGAGTGACATTATCTTAACTATGTTTTGAAAAGAACACTAAAGGGGCACCTGGATGGCTCAGTCGGTTAAGCATTCGACTTTGACGCAGGTCATGATCTCACAGTTCATGAGTTTGAGCCCCCCGTTGGGCTCTGTGCTGACAGCTAGCTCAGAGCCTGGAGCCTGTTTCAGATTCTGTGTCTCCCTCTCTCTCTGACCCTCCCCTGCTCACGCTGTCTCTCTCTCAGAAATAAATAGAAAACATTAAAAAAACAAAAAAAAAAAACAAAAAAAAAAAACTACCCTTGCTGTTGTGTTAAGCATTGACTATAGGGAAATATGTGTCAAAGAGGAAAGCAGGCCCCTGGGTGATTCAGTCAGTCAAGTGTCTGACTTCAGCTCAGGTCATGATCTCACAGTTTGTGAGTTGGAGCCCTGCATCAGGCTTTCTGCTATCAGTTGGAGCCTACTTCAGGTGTTCTGTCCGGCTCTCTCTCTGCCCTTCCCCATTGTGCGTTCTCTGAAAAATAAATAAACATTTAAAAAGAAGAAGAAGAAATAAGCCCAATCAGTTTCTATATTGCAGGCTATAGACTACTGTTGTTTTTTTCTTTTTAAGTAAGCTGTACTCCCTGTATGGGGTTTAGTTACATGCTCTATTGACTGAGCTAGTCAGGTGCCTCTAGACTATGGTATTTTGGGTTAGGGTTTTAGCATGTACATTGATTTTCTATTGTTGCATAATAAATTACCACAAATGTAGTGACTTAAAACCGCACCCATTTTTTTCAGTCAAACAGTTCTATAGACTATAAATTCATGCACAGTGTCACTGGATTCTCTGCACAGGGTCTTAAAAGCCAAAATCAAGAACTTGGCTGAATTCTTATCTCTAAAACTCTAGGGAAGAATCTACTTCCAGCACATCCAAATGTTAGCAGGATTCAATTCAATGTGGTTATAGGACTTGGACCCCATTTACTTCCTGGCTTTCAGCCATAGGATGCTCTCAGCTTCTAGAGGCTGCCCACATTTCTTAACACAAAGTTCCCACCATCTTCAAGTCAGCAAAACCTTCCCATGCTTCTAATATCTGATTTGTCTTCTGTGACCAGCCAAAGAAACACTCTGCTTTTAAAGTGCCTAAATGATTGAGTCAGCTGCACCTGGATAATTTTCCTATTTTAAGGTCAACTGTGCCATATAACATAAATTATTAATAATGGAAATAAAGTTCATGTATTCACTGTCCCGGGAATTATGCAAGGCATGTATACCAAGGGTAAAGGATGTTGTGGTCCATCTTAGAATTTTGCCTACCATAGCATGGAAATTGAGAGGAAATGTCAGTTTCTAGATATATTATGAAGGTGGAGCTAATAATACCAGTTGCTGGATTTGCCTTTAGGGATAAATGGAATACAATAATTTAAAATGATGCATATGTTTTTAGTCTGAACAACTGGGTGAATAGAGATGCCACTAACTCAGATAGGCAAGAACAAGAAATGTGTTTATATTTGGACATATTAGGTAGACATATAAACATGGGAAATGAAATGAATCATGAGAAGTAAAAAGTTCTGTGAAAGCTTGGGATAGGACTCAAGTAGAGGAAACTACTGGTATAAAGGCCCTGAGGTAGAAATAAGGTACAGTCTTGAATGAGATCACCTTATGAGAGAGTGAGTATGGAAACTTAATTTAAGGATAAAGTCCTAGAGCACTACAGTATTTCAGCTTTAGGCAAAGGAGATAGTGAAGTAGAATGAAGACAGGCAAACAAGATAAGAGGGAAGCCAAAACCATGCTGGTAAGGGTACTTTGAAGCCAAGCGAAGAACGTGAGTCAATATGACCAAAGTGGTTAACTGTATGAGACGCCTCTGAAAAAATGAAAAGCACGAGGAAGGAACAATGACAGTTTCATTTGACAAGATGAAGGTATTTGGGGACCTTAATAACAGCTGTGAATGCAGGAGTATTCCATAACTCTAGTGATAAGATGAAGCTATATGGTAGGATTACTCTTCTTTCCACACACCTGTCCCATAGGCTTCTTTGTCTTGAAATTTCTATCAATCATTCTTCTTTTGATACAAATATTGGTAAGTCTGCCCTGTGAAGGGTCTAGGTTAGAACATATATTAGTCAACTCAGTTCAAGCTTTATTTGATATGTACTCAAAATAGATAGTCATAGCTATCTTTCTTAAGAATAGTTGGTAGAAAAATCAATCCATCACAGTATTATGAAATACTGAGTAAAAATGAACATATGAGCCAAATTGGAAATTAAAATGTATAGTGGGCTTAATGATGGTCCCACAAAAGATAGGTCTAGGTCCTAATTCACAGAACTGTCAATATTAACTTATATGGCAAGAGTGAGTATTGTCTTAACCTGGCAAAAGATGTGATCAAGATAAGAATATTGAAAGGAAGAGCTTATCCTAGAATATTCAAGTGGCCCTAAATGCAATCACATAATTCACATAAGAAAGAGGAAAAGGGAGATTCAACACTAGATACACAGAAGACGAAGAAGCAGCAGCAAAGGGATCATGAAGAAGAGGTTGGAGTGATATATCTATAAACCAAGGAACTTCTAGAACCACCAGAAGTTGGAAGAATCAAGGAAATCTCCCCATGAGCCTTTGGAGGGAACACAGTCCTGCCAACACCTTGATTTTGGACTTCAGGCCTCCAGACTAGGAGAATACATTTCTGTTGTTTTAAACACTCAGTTTATATTAATCTGTTAAAGTAGCGACAAGAAACTAATACAGAATGGAAGAATAAAACAGATTTGACCATAGAGAAAAATAAATCAATGACAACCTTGAAATGTTCCCTCAGAACACAAAGATGAAGAATAAAAATCAATATATATACATATGTATGTGTGTGTATAAGGCAGATAAATCTATAAATTGGTGCTTCTAAAGAACAGAGAAGAATAATTGGAATGTATTAATAGTCAAAGAAAAGAAAATGTTTCTAATCTATAAAAATACTCATATAGGGGTGCCTGGGTGGCTCAGCCAGTTAAGCCTCTGACTCTGGGGGAGCCTGGATGACTTAGTAGGTTGAGCATCCAACTTCAGCTCAGGTCATGATCTCATGGCTCATGAGTTCAAGCTCCTCATGGGACTCTGTGCTGACAGCTCAGAGCCTGAAGCTTACTTTGGATCCTGTGTCTTCCTCTCTCTGTGCCCCTCCCCAACTTGTGCTCTCTCTCTCTCTCAGAATAAATAAACTTAAAAAAAAAAAAACTCATATAAAGATTAAGATAGTTTATAAGGTATCAGAAAACATGAACTGAAACAATATTTACATATACCATTTTCTAGTAATTATCTTCAGTTTCA